GTTCTCAACTTGCATTTTTTGGACCTTCCGCTTTCGCTTCAATGACTTTTTTGACTTTAAGGAATCTCTTACTCCAATCGGGTTGAATTTAGAATATTGATTTTTTCCAAACCTAACTTTTAGAAAACCCTCAAGTAATTTTACGATCTCATTACATGTCAGCTGACGCGGCTTCATTCTCTTCTCAATTGTGCCATCAAACATATTTGATTTGCTTCTGTACTTATGACTCAAGGGTAACCACCGACGATTAAACCAATAACGACTCTTCCGACTATGTGGTAGTCGAAGAGCTTCAAATTCCGGACCACATACAGGACAAGCACACTTGCCCTTCGTAGAGTACCCGGACAGATTAGCATAAGCTGGAAAATCATTAATCGTCCACAATAGAATAGCACGTAATCTAAACGACTCTTTAAATGAGCATCATATGCTAAAATACTCTCAGACCATAATTATTTCATCTCATCAATTAGAGGCTCTAAGTAGACATCAATATCATTACCTGGAGTGTGCTTACCAGGTATCAGTAATAAAAGCATCATAAACGGCTGTTTCATACAAAGCAATGGAGGTATATTATATGACATTAATATAACTAGCCACGTAGACCAACCAGAGCTCATTACCCCAAATGGATTGAATCCATCGCTAGATAGACCCAGTCTTACATTTCTGCAAACTTCGGCAAAACGAGGATAAGTTTTATCCACATGCTTCCAAGCTAAAGCATCAGCAGGATGTCTCACTTTGCCATCATCTACTCGATCTTCCTTGTGCCACCTCATGTTCTTTGTTGTGTCTTTGTTCATGTACAATCTTCGCAATCTAGGAGCCAATGGAAAATGTCGAAGCACCTTGGCAGGAATTTGCTTCGGTGTTACATTTGTCTCTGTTATAATCCTTATTGAAGAATTTGTGCGTTGCTTCCACCTAGAAACTCCACATGTCGAACATTCTTGAAGGCCTTTATTGGCTTTATGGTACAAAATACAATCATTCGGACATGCATCAATCTTATTATAATCAAGACCCAGACAAAATACAATCATTCGGACATGCATCAATCTTATTATAATCAAGACCCAGAGCGGAGACAATCTTCTTAGCTTGATAAGTTGTTTGGGGTATGCTATTCTCTCCTAGAGCGGAGACAATCTTCTTAGCTTGATAAGTTGTTTGGGGTATGCTATTCTCTCCTCCAGGAATTACCATCCAAAGCAAATCAAGGAGCATTTCGAAATAATTATCTGACATGCCGCTAAGTGTCTTAATATGTAGGAGTTTCAGCATAAAAGAAAATTTTGAGTACTCGGTACATTCATCATATAAGTTATTTTCACTATCTTCTAGTAGCTCTATTATTTGCTTTATTTCCGCGGAGGAATGCATATCATCAAAATTTTCGACACTTTCGACATCTACTACCTCTTCAGGTTCAACTTCAATATCATCTTCACTTTTATCTCCGATATCATCATCGACATCATATTCTGTAGGTCAAGGAAAAATATCATTCAACATCGTTATTGTGTCATCTATTCGTTGGCCTCCGGACGTACCAACACGCACATTTGGATCCTCATCTTCAGTTATATCTTCCCTATGATAGTTCCAATATTTATAATTTTCATCAAAACCTGATTTTATTAGGTGGATCCGTATATCATTCCTATTCAACAGCTTTATATTCCTACACCTACAACAAGAACAATACATAGCACCACTTCTTAAATTTCTCGGATTCATTTCAGCATAACGCATGAAGGCGTCACATCCCTCCTTGTATTGCGTGTCACAAAATCTATCAAGCCGTGGGATATCTATCCATGATTTGTCAGGAATTATCCTCATCTGTAAATTATATATAATTATTAACTATGATTAATCTCACAACTACTAGTACATCCATGACTCTTGTACATTCAACACACATCAAACATATGTTCACATAACATTTAACAATATGAATATTTATCTACATAAAATATATATGAACGTATGTAGAAACTAATTACATCAATCTAGCAGCTGTCATAGGAAGACTTCTATTCATTAAGAATATAGTAGTGCTTACATCCAACTTCGTATACTTTGTATATTTTTATTTCTTAAAAATTTCGGCAGCACCTACCCGCTGTTCTCCATGTACACGGTGTGGATGTTATTATGCGTATCAGCAATAGCCCGAAACGCATAACAACATACACATATTGTACACGGAGAACAACGAATACGTGCTGCCAAAACTTTCAAGAATGAAAATATACAAAGTATACAAGAGAACAACGAATACGTGCTGCCAAAACTTTCAAGAATGAAAATATACAAAGTATACAAAGTTGGATGTATGCACTACTATATTCCTAACCCGTCCGAGAAGGACAGATCCAATAATTACTAATTTCAGTGCCAAATTTTTTTGTATAATATAAAATAAACGCTCATTTTCGGGAGAAAACTTCGTCTCCTGCCAAAATCTGAGTCGTATATCATATATTATAAGTCCAAAGAATTAGATGTAATTATTAGACGGAAGTCTAGGGATAATGTTATTTTTTTATTCACCTAAATTGGATTATAACTCATTATAAAAAATTATAATGTGTTATATATCACTCTATTTTTTAAAAAAATTTTATTTCACATATTTTTCACATCACAAACTTAAATATTCACACCTACTTATAGCACGAATGAAACTTAATCGTGTTAGGGCTTATAAGTGTTTAAAACTCAATAATAATTACTAGTGTTGTTGAAATGAATTAACATGTAGTTGAGTTAGAGTTTTCAGAATTAAACTCGTTTATTTTTTTTTATCATAATTAGGGTTTAAAACTAAATTCAACAATAAATAATAATAAAGTTAAAAATTCTAAAACTCAGTAGAAAAAACATACATTTTAAGCAGATTCAACAACGGACACGCCGGTGGTCACGGT